AATGGAAATGCTCTTCTTTGATATATTTCAGCACACCTCAGTAAAAAATATATTGAACCACCACCTTTTGACCTGACGTCTTCCTATGCCGATTCTCACTGCTGTATTCCTCTAATTTTCATTCTAACTCCTGGTGCCGATCCGACTGCCGTTCTTCTTAAATTTGCCGACGATCAGGGCTTTGGTGCTGCGCGGCTTTATCCGTTGTCTTTAGGACAAGGACAAGGTCCAATTGCAGTCAAACTGATTGACGAAGGCGTCAAAAATGGTACGTGGGTGGTTTTGCAGAACTGCCATTTGGCGAAGAGTTTCATGCCTACGCTGGAACGAGTGAGTTTTGGTTTCGTAATTCGAAATGTTCCGAATGTTTTAGTAAACAATAAACGTCATGATGTTACAGATCTGTGAAAATTTAACTCCAGATTCAACCCACCCAGACTTTCGATTGTGGTTGACGTCTTATCCTGCTGAGCATTTTCCTGTGCTGGTCTTGCAGAATGGAGTGAAAATGACCAATGAACCACCAAAAGGACTGAAGAATAACATCATAAGGTTAGTAGGGTTTTGGAAAATGGAAAAAATGTATATTTCGTTTTCCAGTTGAATTGACTGGTGCTTGCTGATTGAATGTTGATGAGTATTTCCTTTAAACCGATAAAATAACGAAAATAAATTGAAAGCTAGGCCACCAAAACAGTTTTATAGCAATTAAAAGTTTCTTTCCAACAACGATTAAACTGACAGTCATGAAATTAACATCTAGGTGTCGTTATTCTTAAATCATACGTGCTTCTCAAGGCCTAGTTATGCATCATTCTTACAATTTCAATCACGTTCAGTATCCTAATCAAATTGAATCAATTGAATCAAATATTCAAACATGATTGTGACTTAATATCAAAACTTTGCATAAATGTTGTTGGATATTATGATTATGATAGTGACTAGACTCTAATTCTACTGAAACCATTGACATGAGTTTGTAAGTCGAATGGAACTCCTCGATACAATGAACAGATTCAAGAGACTGAAATTAGGAACGAACTTACTCCGAATTTCACATTAAATACCAACAATTTATGTATGGTATTCAAAAATCTTACTTTCTTGATCGAAACTTATTGGTACGATAAGGCATTTTCAATTCAAATGATTATTCTGCATCTGGCCGCGTGAAGTAAGTCGGGTGATTCGGGTGCCAGCTCTGCGGTGTCATGTCAAGGCACGATATATTTTACGAATTTAATTTAGTCATTTACGAACTCTGTTCGACTTGAAAGTCTTTTTCAATTCAGCAATACTCACTCTTTCTGATTGAGCAGTCTTTTCATTTGCTATTATAATCTAAACCAGCTCGATAGTTTATTATGATCTGTTGAAATCTTTTAATTAATCAATTAATTGATGGATGTAGCCGTTACTACGTGGTAGGAAATCATAATGAAGAAAAGAAAAATGAAACTTTCTATGTTTTTTACCACTTTCATTTGTAACTAACGTTACTGCAGTTTCGTCCTATAAGGACATTTTCAAACTTATACAATAAGGAAAAATGAAACATTAATATCATATCGATCTTTATTGCCCCCAAAAAAACATGAATGTTTTGAATAGGTACGTCAACTATATCCATAAAAAAGAATAAAAAAAATGACACATCGAAATACAAAAAATTTAATACAACTTTCCACAATTCGAAAAATGAACAAAACTGAATCAATATGCAATCTGCTGAAACGGAATCAAGGACAAGCTGAAAAGTTTACCCCAAACAGTTACTGCGTCCAAATAGTTACTGAAGAGTCTAATTAGTCAAAACTTGTATTCATACATTTTGGCTACAAATTGCATAATCAATGTACAAAAATGGAATTTTTATACTTAGCTTTTTTTAGATCGTTGACTTTGCGGAAAATAATCCTTTCCCGTTTTGAAAACTAATGAAAATTCACTTGTGAACAACGTCTCAATTCCTCAATTAGGTTATTTTTTAAAGAAAAGTTCTTATGAATATATATCTGCACTGGCTTCGCTTCTGAAGTTAGAAAAACGGTTTTTATGAAATATCATGAATATTATTAAACCGGTTTGTTTGAAATTCAATGGTTATTTAGTTAGTTAAGTAATGAGGGGCTGATTTAGCCTCAATGAAATTAAAATTATTAGATCCAGTGGTGTCTCAGTGGGCTCACAGCCATCAATATTCAGCCTTCTTTATGTAGTTCATTCTTTTCGATCAAACAACTGAAAATACAGCCTTTTGGTTTCCTGTGTTTTCTTCCTATTTAGTTTCGTTTCCGAAAAAAAGTCACTGTAACTCATTCTGAAAACTCGTCATGGACAACATAAAATGAAAACCAAAAATAAAAAATTACTTCAGGAAATTCTCGGTTGCCTTCCAAAACGCTTCTGAACTGAGTGAGTCAAATTCAATTAGTAGCTCGACATGACAGGAATAAAAGGTTTGGGACAAATGGGCGAATGTTTTTTCAATATTGACAGAAAATCAGATTTTTCCGTCATTTGCAATGAAGTGGCTTCAATTTTTTTCTCGAAAACAAAGCCAGATATGAATAAATCAAAAGGGACCGAAATTTCAGAGGGAAAGTGAATTTGCCTGTGATAGATTTATGAAAAATAACTATATTTTCAACAAATGTGTATGTATGTATTTCAGATCCTACCTGAGTGATCCTATTTGTGACGCAGAATGGTTCGAGAACTGTAAACAGTCAGCGGTTTTCAAAAAACTTCTTTATGGCTTATGCTTCTTTCATGCGTCTGTACAGGAAAGGCGAAAGTTTGGGCCTCTAGGTTGGAACATCCCTTACGAGTTCAACGAGACTGATTTAAGAATTAGTGTTATGCAACTACAGATGTTCTTGAATGAGTATGAGGTGAGTAAATGACTGATCATTACGGGATTATAATATAAGGTATCATAAAATATTTTCAAGAGTAGAAAATATTGGCAGAGGGAGGTATTTGGTCTTCAAGTTCTTCATCTTTATAAAAAAATTGCTGGAAAAACTTCCGGAGGAAGGAAGAAAGCACTTGAGTTCTAAAGGGACTATTTACAAGGATGTAATTGTAGATCATGCATAGAAGTTGCTTTCAGATACAAGTTGGAAGAAAGAATCCTTCGGAATAAACTATTTTTACATGAATATTGAATTATACGAAAAAAAGTGTGTTCGAAATAACTATTTTCATATGAACATTTTCACTTTTTTCCATTCATTTCTTATAGAATTCAATCAGATATCATGTATAAAAACGCTACATATGATATATGGAAGAGTTACGATATGAAATTTCACTTACTTGGAACACCATTATCTACAATAGGAAACTTCGAAGTTTTGGAATAAGACATTATCTAATTACCTCATCGGCACCATTCTGGATAACATAACAAGATGAAACACTCAATTTATTCAAAACATTACGACTTAACGTAACATTTGGAAAATATATTTCGAAAGACGAGCAATCATTATTTCAATTGCATATTTTAAAAATAGGAACACATGAAAAATAAATCGGTTTCACTGAACTTTCATAGTTTCGGTCATTGATGAGTTATGGAAACCATTAGATATATTTTGACGCTGATCTCTCAACTTTCCTTCAAAACTTGTGGAAACATTTCATTCGCATTCACCAAACGAGTCCACTTTTCCCAATTTTTCATGTCTCACTTAATCACAGATTTATCGATGAAAGTTTGCTATAAGGAAAATGCCATTCTCTCGATTCTGCTTTTTATATACTTGAATTGTTTTCAGTTCAATTCCTTCGCGAAATAAATCTCCCGATCACGTCTCGGGAAAATAGGTCGGAACTATGGGCACATTAAATAACCATTAACAAATATGAAATGGCCAAAATGGAACCAGTCATCGTATTAAACTAAAAATCAGCTTCTTAGAGCCACAAATGAGTCAAATTTTAAAAAAGGCAATATTTGCACATATCAACTAATGTTATCGAAATTCAACATTTTTGAACCTTGGAAAAAATACTATCTTATTTCAGAGGGGGGTTCAACCGGGCGATTCTCTAGGTCCTGCTCTTTTCTGCCTCACTTTGAATGAACTGACAAAGTCTATCAACACCAATATCAATTGGTGGTACCTAGACGATGGTTCAATTCGTGGTAATATAGATTCTGTTCTCCAGGATTTTCAAAAAATAATTTATCTTTCTAATGATGTTGGACTTGAATTCAATTTCAACAAAGGTGAAATTTTGCCTCTTTTCAGATGCTCACAAATCCTTTCACAATGATTTCTCCACAAATTAAAATTGTCCCCAAAACACACTGGTCTTTATTGGAAGCTTCTTTCTCTGTAGATTCTTTATAACATACAGAAAACAGAGTCTCTAATTCTACTGTCATCTCGTCTCAATAGTCTTCCTTTCCATATAACATATCTTCTATTGAAATACTGTTTGGCAATCCCCAAATTATTGTATACCTTGAGATGCAGTCCAACTTGGATGTGTCAAAAGGAGTTACAGGAATTTGATTCCACCCTACGCCAATCTTTACAAAAAACTACCAATAATCAATTCGAAGATATCACTTGGAGTCAAGCTACTCTCCCAGTTAACTCTGGTGGTTTAGGTATTCGATTAGCCTCATCCCTCGCAGTGCCAGCATTTCTTTCCTCTTATAACAGTTCTCGTCATTTGATCAGATTCATTCTTTCCAAATCTTTGTATGAAATTTCTGATGCGTATTTCTTGAATGGTGAAATTAAATGGTTATATCAAACGAAAAATACCCTTACCAAAAATAAAAAGTGTCAGAAAGCCTGGGATTATCCAATGATCAATATGGTTCACGGTTCTTGCGTCAGCTGAACGTTCCGATATTCAAATGGCTAGACTCAAAGCTGTTATGTCCGAAGAGCAGATTTTAACAAAATATAAAACATATGGTCTGAAGCTTATGGTTCGGGAGCTACAAATTATTTGAGTTGAAAACGAGCCACCCTGAATACTTAACTTTTGGAACAATGATTTTCAGGAAAAATAAAAAAAACACCTCAACAATAGTATACAGGGTGCATTTTGACATATACACATTTGATCTAACTTTCCCTATCGCACCCCTGTGACCATTTTTTTTAATGTATCAATTGTTTTGCATTATCAGATGTTCCATGATGAACAAATTTCAACAAAGTAGAATACATTATGGTCTGAAGCTCATAGTTTGGAAACTAAAAATTATTTGAGTTGGAAACGAACCATCTTGAATGAACTTCTGTACAATCTGTTACCTAGGTTTCATAGGTGTTTTTCTGAAGTATACTTCAAAAATGTCTTATTTTGCCTAGTAAAGTTTGAATTCGATATTCTCTTCATTTTTTTTTGTCTCATTCAACAATAACGATTGCCTACCAGGTGAAGTTACAATTGGTGTTTCCGTTTTCGTGAATTCTTGAGAAGCAATGGCTTCGAGAACGGATTGAAATAGTGAGTTTGTACTACCAGAATGGAAATACTGCTAGAGCTTATGCCTGTATGTTCAATGATATTCATCAAGGAAGAAATGTAGGACACAAATACGTTCAGAAATTATTGTACAAATTTATGGAAACTTGATCTGTTAGCAATAAAAAGCATAACCGTTCAGAAGTTGTCAACGATGAAGCTATTTGTACTGCAGTTTTAGGGCACGTTGGACTAATGGAAAATTCGCAATCTCTTATAAAGTTATCTCGAAAATCAGGAATCAGCCGTACCAATATTTTCAGGATCCTTCATAAGTACAAATTTCATCATGACTAGAATGAAGATGATTTCGATAGACGTAACGAGTTTTGTGAAAGTCTCAATGAACGGATCAACTTGCATCATAATTTCTTGTATAAAATTTGTTTTTCGGATGAATGTACTTTTAGTTTGAATGGAGAGATGAATCGGCAAAATTGTCGATAATTGAGTGATACGAATCCGCATTTGTACTGTCAAGTTCATACCCAACGACCTCAAAAACTGAATGTTTAAGCATGAATTTTAGGTGACCACATCATAGGACCTTTTTTATCGATGATAATTTGACTAGTGATAAATATNCTTTTTTAGGATATCCAGTATGATGCTTTGCTCTACTTAACAGGAGAGTGCAACTACGGTGGCCGAGTGACGGACGACTGGGACCGTCGAACTCTCTCGACTATACTCAGAAAGTTTTATTGCAGAGAACTGGTGGAAATCCCGAATTATCCCTTCGATCCCACAGGTCAGTCCCTCGATTATTCGCAGTGAAATGAACGTTGGAAAAGTTTCCATTGAACGATTGCCTCGCGAAGTTCTCAGGACATGTATCGTATATATATTTAACCGCATTCGAACGAAGATTGAAGTTACCACCAATGACACAGCAGAATCGTTTATAATAATGTATTGCAGCGGAAAAGTTTATCCGGGGTTAGGAAAGCGGAACTTTGCTTTCACCGACTAGAGTTTATTGTTCAAAATTCAATTATCGTTGAACTATACTAACTGGCGTTGACATACTGTAATAGTTAACTTTCTTGAATTACCGCTGGATGGCTGCCCGGTTTCACTCGATAATTGGAAATATAATTCCACGTCTTATGGATATATTTCAAAAAATATATCCAATATTCAAAATCATCGAACAGATAATAAAAACTATCATGTGGTGCTTTTTAGTGTAGAAATTAAGGGATGTCCAAAGTCAGTGGGTCTATTCAATCCTCCACTGCAACCCGCAAGGGTTTATTGTGTCTCATACCTGCCTAGAGCAAACGAATCCAGCTTATTATTGGAGCTAATTTCTTTATTTGGTGAGTGATCTTCCTCAATCTGTTAATGATATGAACGGCGGTGGCTTTGTTAGGATTGAGTTGATCAATCGACAATAAGATTAAACTTCAATGCCAGATAGAACAGGAATGTATCACTTGACTGATGGTTTTTGCTCGAAACTTTATATTGGTCAAACGGGGTAAAACATCCCGAAGAATAAATGACAATATGCGTAGTTTCTTAAATGTGAAGATTCCAGTTGACAGTTCAACCACGACTATGAAGTGTTACATTTGAAAAAAATGGGTTGAGAACTCAATATTTTGGAGTACTTAGAAATACATTGATTTGAGATTTCTGATAATTTACTGAGCGACCAAATAGAATTGAATTCTTCTCCTCTTCTCAATCTGTGTTCTAAAGTGGAAATTGGTAGTTATTATACGTTCATTTTAAAAGTTCATGAAATGTTCTTTTTTTATTTTGTTTGAGAATTTGGTAGTTAATGTTTCAATTTTAACACAATCGGTAACCGATTCATTCAACTTATGTTTTGTATTCATTTTCGTGTGGACCGTCTATTTGTTTCTTTGCTAGGAATTTCTTCATTAACTGAAAATACGTAATTGAATCAATAGATATCCATTGATCGATTTGTGTGTCGGACGATAGCCGATAGGTTCGACGTGGGTGCTTTGTTCACTCACTCAAATCAACCGCCGTGTTGGTCGCTGGTTCAAGCCCCACGCTGAACGATCGATTTTCACTTGGTATTATCCAACCCGTGTTAGGAAACACACGTTGAAAGGTAAGACCTCGATAGTCTTTATCTCGCGCAAGTTGATGAAAAAAACATATTTTAATATAACATAAACCTGATATTACTATTTTAAAAACCATCAGACATATTAGATACATATTTAAAAAAAAATAAAAAACATTGCAACAACCAAATTTTCGAGACAACACCAACACAAAACGACATGAAACAAACGAATGGCTTTATCTGTGATTCTAAACTAGATTATTGTAAAATTAATTTAAGACAAGAAGATAAGGCAACATTGTGAAATTAATTTAAGACAATTAAGACGCAGGTACCTAGCAGAAATATCTTTGATATAAATGAGGATAACATTGTATGTATGTTTAGTTTAATCTTCCTCTTGAAGATGATCACTTGGTGATCGAAACGCGTGTCGAGGTGTTGAAATAACGGTTTTTATGTTAAGTTAAAACTCCAGTAATATTTATTACTACACCAAAGGTTCCAAACAGTTCATTACAGGAACATAATATTTGAGTCTTGTCTGACGGCGAAATTTGAAATGTCCAAAAATGTGTATCATATTTTGAATTCAAATAATCGCATTCACAGTTGTCTGGCATTCAAGAGTATTCCCCCACAGCGGAGATATATGAAATTGTTTCTGCATTTATTAGTTGTGTGATTGAGTCTAAAGTGCTTGAAACACTGAGTAACACTGTTTTTTTCAAAAACCATACAGCTCCACCAAGCAACAAACATTTTACTATTGTTTTGCAATTTTTTTAAGTTTTCCATTCTTTGATGATGGACAAGTAGAAAGCAAAAAAGCGTTATTCCCACAATTCGTAGGAATTTAATGTTAGGAATCACACGTTAAATGGTAAGACCTCAAAATTGTGAGTCTTTGGGAATTATCCTCATATTTATTTCATAATTTCCTGTTGGTTTCATTCTTCACTTTTGAAAAGTGTATCTCACTTTTATATATAATTTTCAATATATCATTCTGTGTTGTTGCTGTTCATTAACATAACATTTTCAAATCAGCTACATTACGATAAAGTTTCGAACATTTAAAATAAGCTTTATTGAATTGCAACAACAAATGTTAGAATAATTAAGTGGCATACACCCTCACAATACGACTGGCAATATGCTAGTATAGTAATTGATGAGGACAAAATAAGATGGNCTTTGTTTCGAAGATACGGGGCAAAAGAGAATTTCGACAATAACAATTTTGGTAATTTTAAAATTATTAACGTAGCTGAAATGTAGCCGAAAAGTATAGCGTACTACACTAGACCTACCAAGTAATAAAAAATCTTACAATTCCGTTGGTACCTATCAATAACATTCCGATTACCACGAACGGCTACAGACATTCACTTTGCTGAGTGTAACGCAATCAGAAACGATCCTAATGTTTTTTAAAGGGTTCGGTAGTCGATGAGGAGAAGATTGGATTCTTGCATCCGAGCGGGGGGTTGTCATTTTCAACAGTTCTTGTAGATTAAGAAACATTACATGTCATTTTTGGTAATAAATTGTTATTGTCGAAATTCTTTTTCGCTCTGTATCTTCGAAACAAAGCGCCCTTTCAAAAATCATCAAAGGACAAAATATCCATTGAATAGTCTCTTGAATGTATGCCACATAGTCAATAAACCTGTATAAAAAGTCAAGGTGTACAGTAATAACTAAAATGAATTATTTCTTACTGTTTCTTTTATTTCCATTCAGGAGTTTACTATTGCCCGGACAAGACGGAATACGAAGAATTCATGAACTATACGAGGTCTCTTCCTTTGATTACCCATCCGGAAGTTTTCGGGATGCACGAAAACGCAGACATCATGAAGGACCAGCAAGAAACTAGTTTACTGTTTGCCAACACTCTGCTCACTCAGGTAAATATTTGATTAGATCGAGTGCCGTTCGGTATCCGTAACTCCCAACACGGGGAGTTTGTTTGCAATGTCGCCGGTTTATCAATTGATGTGTGATTTTTTATTGTGCCAACCCTTGTAGGACAGAACGGTAAGAAATCTAATTCTATTTCACTACGAAATCGGATCATATTGGTAGGAATACAGTCTCACGGGTGATGGATATGACAACTCAAAAGTATTTACTTCGCTGAAATCATTTCGTCAAGTTATTGACGTAAATGTAAATTACCTTATATTGGTTTGTTTCAAAAGTTTTGTCCATTTTCATAAGTCTACTATGAACTGTAATATCTCAGTGGCTACTTATCCAATCTAATCGAAATGAACCCCATTTCAATCAGTGCACTTTTGGCAACGCAACAGCAACGATCAATTCCGTCAGCATGAACATTGTGTGCTCGAGATTCGATTAAGTCGACGAAGGCCGTTTTTGTCTGGTCCTGATTGGCAAAGGTTCTACCGGTGAGAAAGTATCGAAATACTTGAAAAAATCGTAGTCGGTTGGCCAGATGTCTGGGGAATATGATGGGTGAGGCAGAACTTCGACGCTCAATTCGTCAGACGGTGAGTTGTGAAACGTGCGGATGGGCGTTGTCGTGGAGCAGAATCGGACCCTTTCTGTTGCCGGCTGCTGTTGACGCTGCTGTGGTAGTTTGGATTGGTTCCAGAAAGTTATAGTGAATAAAACCAGCCTCTGACCCCTATACAGTAACCATGGTCTTTTTGTGGTGGGTTTTCGCCTTTGGGAGGTGCCTGAGTGACTAATCGGTATTCAACCAGTGTCCTGAAAGTCTCTTTTTGTCGTAGAGGATCCACTTTTCAACTGATATGAAGATCCGTTCCAAAAGCAAAGAAGAATAGACCTCGAATAGTGACAGTTTCTGTTGATCGTTTAAATTGTGGGACTCCCACTTTTTGAGCATTTTGACCTTTCCAATACGTTTTAAACCATCATAAACCGCATGGCAGCTGACGCAAAGTTCTTCCGTCATTCCTCGTACCATTTTGTGATGGGTCAGTCTCCACCAGGGCACACAAACCCTCTTCCTGGGTTACTGCAGGCTCATCTTNTTTTTTGAAAATCTCACAACAGTTTTAGGAATCATACTGTGTCTATAACACAAAACAAACTACATTGAAGTGTAATATCACTTGAAGAAAATAATTGAAGAAGCTGAAGAGCTTTAGTAAAAAGAGAAATAATTGTAGCAAAATATCATATTTGTTATCTATACAGCATGAATTAAGGATTTTTGAAGTTATACCTAGTATCTGCCATAATTTACTAACCCATCCTTATTTTTCACATTCATTGGTTTTTCAATCACGTGTGTTACCTTCGTTCAGGACTTATATCGACTAGAGGTGAGTTTGCTTCGTAAAAGAAATTGATTCATTTAAAAAAATTGTTTGAACATTTGTTTAGCAACTGAAGAGAGAAAGGGTAAGGTAATATTGAAAACCTTATAAAGTTCGATGACTTTTGCATGTGATTTAGAGTTAGATGCAGCATGTTGAAGACTACATTTTTTTTGTTGGTGTCGTAGAATAACACTTGATGATCATCTCAATCTTCTTTTACGATATCTATTATTGATCACATATGTAAAATTTAATTTAAAAAAGTATATTTATCATTGTGAACGTGTGTATTGTCGCACAAATGTATTTTAACAATTGTAGTTCAGTCACTGAAGATAAAATACGGCACCGATCTGCACAAAAATTTGAATGTAGTATGTAGTTACCCTCTTTTTCACAGTTAATTTTTGCTTCTAATGCCACCTCTTCTCAGAAGTGAAGAATGTTTCGTTGAAAATAATGCCGGAAATTTATAGATCGACTGAATGCAAGCAACTTTTTACTATAAAGTTTTTTTTCTGAAATTCAAAACTTTAACTCTAGTGTTTATCTTTCTACCAGTACGGATTTTTTGCGATTGAGTAAGTATTCAAAAACATCACCCTCTGTACAAAAGTGGCTTATAATAAATAATAGTTCAAAAAACAAAAAAACGCGCTTTAATACCAACACGAACTAAAAAATAAAAAATTATTCGAAACTAATTCAAGATTTTGTTCAACATCGATAATGAGTCCTAGGGCTTGATGCAACTAATCACTTTTAATAAGTTTGAAATTAGAATAAATCCATTTACAAACCATTTATTTTGTTAATGAATCGAAGACGTTTTTGTATGAAAGTGTATAATTATAAAATTATTGCAAAGCGCTCTCGACTTTCGTCATCATCAGTGCTCACCTGAAAGTAAGTGATCTAATCGAAAAGAAAGTTTTATGAAAATCAAAATTTGCAAAAAAAAATTGAGGTTATGACATTTGGAAAATTGTTATGATTCCTTACTTGTCAGACAACATGAAGTATCAAAATGAGTACATGGAAAATTTGTAATATTTGACTTTTATTAAACAAAATAGGCTGAATATAGTTTTTAGTTTGGCTAGCTATTTCAAGCCAATTTGTTCTCATTTAAAATATATACCTACGCATGCGCAGACAGTGTGGTTGTCTTGCTCACTCACAGAGACTGTATGAGGAAATTATTCAATCCTGACGATCCTGATAACGATAATGAGATAAAGTTATGAAATTATTGTATTTTCATCAATTCTTGATAAGTGTGTAATGTTTAAAGTTAGTCAAAATCAACTCCAAAGGAGTCGGTTACAAACAAACGTACAAGTGAAACTAATGAAAGCGTGTTAAATAAAAAAAGAATGGTGGATTTATGGTGTTTGTATAGACCAAGTTGGTCCTTTTTTCAATCGCTCAATAGAAAGTTTCAACGTGGAGCAACCAAAACGTAATGGGGTGAATAATGGGGTTATTCATCCACATTTTTTCGAAATCCCTGAAAAAAATTTGATTTCATTCAAAATAACTATTGATGATACGTAAAATGAAGTATTGCCGAATACAAATTGTATCTATATTTTGTGTATCGATATTAGTTATAAATAATTGATAGTGAATTGTTAAGTGGTAATAATTATTTCCATTGGAGTGATGAGTAGAGGATAATTTCTTCAATTTTTTATACCAAAAATAGTTACTAACATTATTTTCGTCATAACTCGTCTAGTTTAGATTCTAGAAACTTTTATGAAAATCGAAAATTAGCGTTTTTTCAAACACATTGAAAAATGTTCCGCTCCCCCGAAAAATGCAGTTTCTGATTACTCCGCGTTGAAACTTTTTGAATTTGATATTTAAATTTTGCCAGTGATTGGTGCTTTGTTATTTTAAGTGAAATGGCATTATATAAGATGATCCCATCGTAATATATCGACTTTTATAATTTGTTTTCATTTCCTCTTCAAATTATTTCCTTTCATTTTACTTGCTACTGATTACCGTGAACGTGAAAATGAAGTTATTGGCCGATGATACACACATTCAGCTTTTATTCCACCAATAGGATATGAATACCGCAATGCAGATGCTGAATGAAGACAAATGGAGACTTCCACTGGCATTATATCCAAATTAATGTTATATATTCAAAGTTAAGTTCGGCTCTTTGGGGCTAAGAGAGCACTAAATGGCTTCCAATTAACTAAAGACAAGGATGTATTTGCACCGATTGAGCTAGATGTCATTTTCGTTTCTAACTTGAAATTGAAACGTCATATTAATAAATGCATTAGTATTGCACATGTGAACATCAAACAAATTCATACCAACTGACATTGACTATCTTCTGTAAATCTCTTGTATTATCCAGATTCAATTTTGGAAGCGCTGTCTATGGACCTTGCATTTATTATGAAGAAAAACAGAGAAAACATGCTTTTCAAAAGAATTATCTATGTTCAATACACATTAGATGTGGCCAACATACTAGATGGGCTAAAAAGTTCGTAGGCTACCACACGAATGGCGATACTAGTATTGAAACCATATGATTTTTAGTTTACCCAATAAAGCATTGCTTTTTGATGAAAAAAATCGGTTGAAGCCAAGGCTTAGCTTGATAAACATTATTCGAACTCTGCATCAAAAAAACGAACTGTCGGGAAGTAGTTTGCTGGGATCCATTCACAGTTCACACGGAAGGGTCAAAGGTCCGCGCCTCGTCTCTGCCAGACGTCCATTCTGTGTGAATTGGGCCTTAGTCTTTTAGAGCCCACTTCTCCACTTGGTTAGCGAAACGCGTTGAGTGATAGATGACTATCATATTGGAACAAAAAAAAATGACAATGACGACGAAACGATAACTAATAAACGCACGCAAAATAGTCGAAACGCATTTATAAAACGGTTGAAACGTACGCAAAACAATTTATTTTGAAAAGTCATTGTCGAAAACTTCGCTCCCATATTGCCCCCACCTTCGAACGTTAACTCCACAACACGTAACCTCTCGACACTTTTGGGTGTCATCTCCTCCTCCTACAACTCAGTTTCCTTCTGAACTTGTTCATCTACTGGGCGGTAGCTTCTGATTGGTCGACTGTATAACGGCAAAAGTGGAGTGGGTTCTGAGTTTAAGGCCCTATTCACACAGCATGGTCGTTTGGCAGAGACGAGGCGCGGACCTTTGTACCTTCCGTGTGAACTGAGCCTGAGGTTCAAAAGTCGCCAGAATGGACCTGCTCAAATTTGCAGGCGTTTGAAGGACGAAATCGCGGAAAAACCGCCCTATTTGAGGAAATGCACCGTGTCACAAATCAATGAAAACGATGGCAAAATTGCATGAATTGGGCTTTGAATTGCTTCCGCATGGTGATTGTCGAAACTGAGGCCTATTTTGAGGCTAAAGACACATCGTACTATAAAAATAGTATAATATAATTGAACCCAATCGTTTTTTTCCTACTAACTTTTCAGCCCAATTTTTATGTCGTTCAGATGTTTACAATATTCACATTCGCTATAGGGAAAGACTAATGCTCCATACACACCAAACATAATCATTTTTAGGAAAATTCATACCAGATTGCACGAGTGAACAAGTCAATCTCAGGTGAATTCAAGCGGAATCTTAAAAAAAATCAAAAAAGCATTGAAACGACATTATTTAAACGAAATGTACACCAACTCTCGATAAGAATGTTGGTCTGTGAATAATTAAGCTAATTCCTTTATCCTGCATATGTAAACATACTTCTAATTTTTTTTTAGGACAAAACACGAGCACACTATTGACTCAATTACATATTTAGTACATTCATTCTCTAACTTGTAATTTGTGTTGAAATTTTTTTTACTGTTTTCATTATGTTTTTTTGCCTAAGATAAAAAACAGAGGTTGCATCTTCTGAAAGAACCAACTGAACTTTAGCCTTTTCCATTTCAGCATATGTTTACACATATCTATTGTATCAATCCGAAAATAACATGGAAACATATTGACTGAATTGAAACAACACGAGGCTTCTCAAATTGACTTGTCTGAATATATTTTTTCGTCCATGTCAGCCTGATACTGGTAGAGGGTAATAACAACCATGGACGTCAATTGATACTGACTTTCTTATATATAAAAATGCTATTTCATATTCAGTGAACATTGAAAATGCTGGTTGACTTCAACTGAAAATACCTTTCTCTAACCATAACAAAAGTAATGCCTGTCGACGCATTAGCAAAAAGTAACGTATTTGAAAAACACTTTATTTTAAGATTTTCAATGAACTATTTTACAAGAACGCAAGACGTGTTTCGCCATGCAGTGGCTTCTTCGAGCGTGTAAAATCGTTTAGTGGAAATCTCGCAGTAAAGTGTTTTTTGAATACGTTAGTTACGGATTTTCATCAAGCATCGGCCAATTTCATCATATATCACCAGAAAGTGACTAAAACAGTTTCAGTTAAGCTGATAGATTCAACATTTTCGTGTTCAGTTTGTGAGAGTGATTGTTTCACTTCAAATGGACTTAGGTTAAGAAAATAATACTGTTATTTATTGTGCATTTAGGATGCTATGTCAACCAGTGACTCCGCCAAATCTCCCGACGACGTGGTGATGGAGGTTTCTTCAGATATTTTGGCGAAGTTGCCACCAAACTTCGACCGGGATGCCGCTATGGAGAAGTACCCCGTATCGTACACGCAGAGTATGAACACCGTTTTGGTTCAGGAAATGACTCGTTTCAACGTTTTGTTAACTGCCATCAGGACCAGCTTGAAGAACGTTCAAAAAGCCATTAAAGGCGAGTTGCATCTTTTGACTCTTTCATATCGAGTAGACAGGAACAAAACTGGACAATATTGCTAAAGAAAATATACAGAGTAGCAAAAATTTGATAGCTCACTGTGGCTAAATAAACGAAAGGTCGTTGTGGCCTGCAGATTTTTATGATTGATCTTTCATTTACGAGTTGGGTATACACTTTCAAAGGCAATGGAGTAACCTCACAACAGATACTACATTCGAGTCACCTGTGCCAAAGGAATGGCACCGGAGACTTCAGTTGCAACTGCAAAGCCAAGTTTCGACATCGACCACCGACGAGATTCGTTCTCTGTCTTCCACGGCAAGGCAAACAGCTGAAAACCACATTCCAAACAAAACGCATTCATGATTCAATACCAAATAGCGCTAATTCGACCCACCAAAGGTTGTTGCTGGACGCGACAGTTTTTAAATAATGAGCATGAGTAAAGGGAGACGATGATATCTTTTTTTTCTCAAGAAAAAAACACAAGCACAACAGAAAATACCTTAAAAGCGCACTGAATCGTTAGAGATTATATTCATTTGGAGAATTTCTCAGGGAGTTTATTCCACATAAACACAGTTCTCCAAATGGAAGAGTTCTTAAACAGTGAAGTTTGAAGTGTTCTGAGTTGAACCTCAAAAGTAGAATACTATACTATCCATGATAGTATATACATAATTTTTACAAACATTTTTGATTTCTAGACGCGTTTGGTTTACACCGTAGCTTCCTTCGTTATTTCTACCGAAGAAGCAACCGTGTGAGGATATTGGTTTCGAATCAAAAAAGAAAATTGGTGGCCATGTTATTTCTCTTCAAAGTTATTATCAATGAAATAAATGCTCCAGAAATTATTTCATCAGTTCAGTTCAATATGCCAGCACCAGCGGCGGATTCGCCAGCAGGCTGAGAAGGCATGAGCCTAAGGCCAAAAATATTGGAAACCGATTTTGTGCCACATCATGGATGTGTCTTATGAATGAAAGTCTGCAACAAATTTTGCCGATGTGCATAGGGTCAGAATTAATGAACAAAATTACTTACGACGATATCATCGATTATTCAGTCAACAGAAAATTGCCCAAAAAGTTATTGTAACGAACTTTTATAACTGGACCGAGTCGATTATTCTTACTGTTTGTAAGGGAAATAAAGATTATTTATTCACGTTTACTGAATGTGCATTATTGTGTAAGTAGCATACAATACCTCGCTCGTACATGATTGAGCTTCCATTAGCTCAAAAATATACACAAAAAGTATTTAACGTTCAATTTTAACGGATCTATTGGATTGTGAAAATTATGTAGGACATGACAATTGTAGAGGCAAGGGGGAGAGATATAGACTGGAAAAATGAGCAGTAAACTTCTCCTCTTTACTTGTTATACTTTTCAATTTCACATCCTTACTTCTTCCGAGTTTGTTGGGGCCACTTGGGACGTTTACTTGAAGTATGTTTTTTTAGTCGATCCATGTTATCAAGTCTGTAAGGCTTGTTTGGAAGACTGAATGAATAAATAAATGTTCCATAATTCTTCAGTAGTGAACTCTTTAATGAAATGTGATGTATAAATTTTTAGATTCAAGCCTCTGGGCTACATCAGAAGAGCATGGCTTCCATCAGATTTAAAAGTGCTGGGAGAAAATCCGATATATGGTTCTTTTCTGTATTCAGATAATAAGTCGACTATGTAAAGTAGTACTTGTGATGCACTATTTGGAAGCTTTGGTGCAGTAATGAATATCACTTCTATCCCAACACGAAACCCTTGAAATGCATAAACGCGATCCAACTAATTCTTTCCAAAGACAAGTGGAAGATTTTTTGAAAAATTCAAACTTACTTTTTACTGAAAGGGAAAAGTTCAAATTAACATTGATAAACCACCAAGTTCCTAAATTATATTCACTCATGAAACTGCACAAACAGAGTTATCTAATTAGACCAGTGGCTTTTTTTTACTGCACCATCAGTGAAATTATCAGAATGGCTAATCAGTATCATCTTGAACCATTGTATCTGTATCTGTAGAGTAGGGAGGGTGAGTGTAAGCCCACGCACTTTACGCCACATGTGACCCATTGTACATCCTCCCGAGGAGTTGTCCTCTTAGGTCATCGTCCATCCTGTCCTTTCCAGGAAGGTGAACAGGTCGCTGGAAGACATCTCCTTTATATCGCCAGGTGTTAGCCAAGACTCGCCGAACACACACTCTCTTATTGACGATAACTCCGGGCACTCGCACAGGACAAGCCTGACAGTCTCATCTTCCTGTTCACACATCCTGCATAGAGGTGTGTCCACTAGCCCCATATTATGTAGGTGTTTCCTTAGCTGACAGTGGCCAGTCAGAAATCCTACTGTANTAATTCTCTATCGGTCAGTATATATCACGACACAGTAAAATGAATATCTATTGAGATATGGAGCTACAAAAACACATGATATTAAAAAGGACAAAACTTTTGAAAAAATCTCATCGGCCAAATTTCATTCATAATCATTTAAAAAGATTATTTGTTGATCAAAAATGCAAAGCAAATATGAAGTATAAGACTTCACCACTCAGTTATTTATAATTAGTATACCTGAATTTCTAAAATTATACAAATCATTCAATTTTTTCAAACCAAATCTGAAAATTATGAAAATACATGTGGAGAAATGATATTTCAAAACATTCACTACTACCAACGTTCTATAGTGGTGTTTACTTTACCTGCAAAAAACTACTTCCTTGACTAATACCACGGTGGACATTGGATTATATGCAAGCTATTTTTGCAAGTTTTCTCATTAAGCAAATGTTTGCAGATTCTTCTTGTTCATCCAGCAGCAGGGCCCTGCTAAAATCGATCGAGTTTCGTCTTATTAACATATGTCAGGGCTGTGTGTCTGAACTCGACTGATTTCAACACGGTCCGGCTGCTATACGAAACCTTCGTTTGAGAAAAAATATTTGTTAACCAGTTACAGATCCATTTTTTTATTACATACTATCTCTGATATTGATTTTTGATCTCAAAATGTTTTTATTATTCTGAAACCATGCTTGAAGCACGTAGAACATACATTTTTTGTCAAGTAAACTTCATAAAGTCATATCAAAATTACAAACTATCCATATCAACTTGCGTAACTATGAAACTATGAATATTCAAGAAAGTAATAAGTTTAATTTTTCATTTATTAGTTTTTTGAATTTTCGAACAGATGGTTTTTTGTATCATATTTACTATTATATTGACGAAATTCAGTATTGAAATTTCTCACCTGAAATAATTTTTCCGTTCGTGAAT